TCCAATTCAACTAATCTCTTTTCAATGTAATATTATGGAGAACTAGTGCACACATCTGAGGTTGTAGGGGTGGTAGCTCGGTCACGGGATAGCTCCTTCCTAGGTTTGGCTTCCTAGGTTTGGCTTCCTCAACTCCTCAATGTCGCTGCCATTTTTAGACCTCGTCATTTCTTCATTCTTGCCAATATCCCTAATCATTCATCATGGGGAGCTTCGAAAAGTCTCGGCCGCTGCTGCAGCGTCCAGAGAGCTCTAGCATTGATGTTCTAGATTTCTCTTTCAGCAAGCCCGCCTCACACAAGCCCTCGTACTCGCGAAATCTGATCAAGCAACCTACCATTCCGAATCCTGCAATTGACAATGCCCTATCTTCAAAGGAACCGATGGCAGAGGAAACAGGGCGCAACCATCAACTGACCAGGTCAAACACGTATGTAGATGACCCAGGCTGATATCACAGATGAACACCACTGTTCACGATGAACTAACGTGGGTATTGGGCTCAGCCCTCTCAATCCTCACAGCGTCGCGAAAGAAGGAATCTTCAAGCCACCAGTCCCTCCGAGACAACCTGTCTTTTCTCAGCCACCAGTCCCCACGGGACAACCTGTCTTTTCTCAGTCAAGACGACTATCAACATCAGCTGAGCCTAACAAAGACGGCGGTAGTCAGCCTACAGCTGTCGATATAGGGAACCTGAGTTTCGGCCAAGAACAGGCGTTGATAGTCTCCCGGCCGAACGAGCCTACCGAGACCGATACCCCTAGAGAGACTATCAGCCCTGCAGGAAGGGCCGTTGAGTCGAGTCAAGAACGTGTTGTTGACATTGAGAAGACGAATGAAGTTAACTTTGCCTTACCCAAGCCACCCCAGGTGCAGCATCCCCACAGAGAGAGGCAGGATATTGAGACCCCATGTTCTCGTGTGCCTCTCAAGCCTGTGCAAAATCAGTCTCAGGGGTCAAAGCGACGCCGTGCCCCTGAGAAGGATGCATCTTCGAAGCAGCAGGCACCGCTCATTGGTGGCAAGCATGGCGTTCAGCTCAGTGAAGATGATCTATTCGAGCTTCTCATCACAAGAATGAGACAGCGAGAAGAAAGCGAGCAGGCGGCCGCAGTTATCCAACGGCAAGTCACGAATGAGAACATGGCCTTGAAGGAAGAGAACCTTAATCTGCAGGACCGGCTCAATAAATGCCAAGGACAGCTCGCCAAAACATCATCCGAGTCAAGATCTCAGCGCGCACAAATAGACAAGTGGAAGGCGAAACTTGGCACATTCAAAGGCGTCCTCAACGAACTCGGTCGTGAATATGGCGCAGTCCGGGAACAAGCCAAAGAATTGAAAGAAGCCACTATCTCTCTTGATAGAGAGAAAAACGAGATTCAACACAGTCTGGACGACATCAGGTTAAAGGTTTCGAACAGCGCAGAGACCATTCAACACCAATCCGAGAGACTTTCAATTTCCGAGGGGACGGTTGCCAGCTTGAGGGAAGCGTTGGACCATTCAGAGAAAAGAGGCGATTTAGTCAAGACCCAGCTATCCAACGAGAAGAAGCGAATCGCCACTCTAGAAGCCTACATCCAAAGTGAGTCTCAGAGCCAATTGCGAAACTTAGTCCTTGTCAGAAACGACCAGCGCAAGATGGCCGAAAAACTTGACTCTGCCTACGAGCTGTTCACCACATCTTGCTTCAAATCCCAGGATAATATCTTGTCAAAACTCAGTCCGGTGCTTGAACATTGTCTCGATTCAGTTCAGGGGTTGAAAGAGCAGTGCTCTGCCGAGACTTTGAATGTCCAGGAGTTCACCAACAGCGTTCATGAGGCAACATCTCGGTAAGTTCGGTGGAAGTGTACCAAAGAACAACACATCGTAAACTCACTATGACTCTAGTTTCAACTCCTTGGCTGGACAGGTTACAAGCGACGTCGACCGAGGCACGGAAATGAGTAAGAATGTGTTCCAAGCCCTCCAAGAAGCCCTTCAAGCCATTGAAGACAACCTCGGTCCGTATTCGTCAATTTTCAAACAGATTGCTAATAGCGAGAGTTGCTATGGGAATTTGCAACAAAAGCTTCAGATCATTGAGCCAATGCTCGACAGCCTGGGTGGTTCTGTCAAGGCCGTGGGAATAACAGAAACAGACCTTGTGCGCGGGTTAGAGAACTTCGGTCAGAAGCTTTCTGAGGCTCGAATTCCAGCAGGAAATCCCGTTCTGGAGATGGAGGTCGCCAACAAATTCGCTGAAAATACCCAGTTGCAACTCCAACTGCAAGAAATCTCGATTGAGGTTGAGTCTCTTCGAAAGCAACTTGCCAACAAATCATCTGAAAATCAACATCTTCAGCATGCTTTGACCGAGACTGTTACTAATGAACAAGCATCTAAGAATCAAAATGCTCGGCTGGAAATTGAGAAGACGGCCTTGCGGAGTGAGCTTCAATTACTCGAACAGAGAATTCGAGAAGAGTTAGATGCCGCAAGCATCGAATTGCAGGATCAGATGAAAGCTAAATTTGAAGAACAAGTCCAAGGCCTTGAGACAGAAAAGGCGAAGCTAGAAAGAGACTTCAATAACCTCCAGGCACAGCTTGCAAATGTTCAAAGCTCTTTGGTAAGCCCAACTGTGCCTGACGAGACGGGTTCACTAACAGTATGCAGACCGAAACCGAAAAGACAGCCGAGGAGGAGCGACTAGAAAAGGCCTCCATGGTAAGCGATGTGGATCATGATAGTCATGTGCTCAACTGATAGGCGCAGCTCGACGAATCACAGAGACGAATCGAGGAGCTGAATGTTGCTTGTTCAAAATACATCACAGAGGCAAAAGCCATTGAGGCTGAATCAAACTTATTGAAAAGCTCCGAAGCCGGTCTCCTGACGGAAAAGGAGAGATTCCTCGAACAGCTTCAACAAGCAAAAGTAAAGACCACCGAGCTTGAAGCGAGCCTTAGGCTGAAGACAGAGTCTGTAGCGCTGAAAGAGAAGGCAATACACGATGCAGAAAAGAGGGCCGAGGTCCTTCAGCAGGAGACGGCCCGGAAGTCCGAAGAGCTTGCAGCGACAAAAGAAAGCCTCGCCATGCTCGCATCACAGTCAACGGCTTTGGAAAAGGTCGGGGAGGAAGCTGATGCTGAAATAATTTCACTCCTCCGCCGGGCCCAGGAGGCTGAAAGTTGGCAAGCGACCATAACAGAAGGGTTTGCGAAGGTGATTGAGGTACATTCAGACGAGCCTTTTGAGCAAACATGGCAGAAAATAGAAGATATCATCCAGTCCTCGCTTGCTCCGTCCGTCACTGGTGATACGTCTTGCAACAAGCCTCATGACACCGGGAATATGGAGGATAGCAATCTTCTTACACTCGAGTCAAGAGAGGGGAAACATGCCAATCGCTTCGCGGCTGATGAATCAAACAAGGGGCCTCTCAATACTGGTGGAGACATGCAGACAGATGGATCTCTAGCACCAAAGAATTTTAGCCCCTCGAAGGCTTTGAAACATGGTGATTGTGCTGAATCTCTACCGAAATTTCCTGCCGGTCACGGCCATATTGTTCCGTTTTCAAGTCTTCATGATAGACTTTCACGGGAAAATAGCATGTCACTTTTCAATGACCCAGCTGAGCTCGAGATGCTCTTTATGTCGACTCCAGATCTCCCGGAAGCGTTGGTACCAAAGGATGCCCCCAACAAAGCTCCTGAATACCAAAATATTCTAGATGATCCTCTGAGAATGAGTCGAGATCTCAATGGCCCTAACCCTGTTCTCGGGATACAACCTCCCGGCGCCGATGACAACAAAAGCGAAAGACCCCAGTCGGCTCTTGAAAATATTGACAGTTCGTTTGTGGATAAACATGCCAAGAACGAACGGCCCAACACCAAGCGTAAGGTAGTCAACTTCGAGGGGGCGCGTTTTATCACCCAAACAGAGGTTGGCAAAGCTAGACGAATGTCAGATGCAACCGACAACAGCTCTGGAAGAGAGTCCGAAAGTAAGGAACTAAAGAGAACGCAGAAACGGACTTACAGCCGTCTTCGCCAGTCTGTGGCACAGGAGGAGACGGGTTCAATTGAAACAACTACAGAGATGCAGCCTGCCAACAAAGCTTTGGTAGGCAAGTCTCAACAGAGCTCAATGGATAAGACTGGGCACTCTTCGAACGCGAACCCAAGGCCGCCGAAGAGAGCACGAAACGCAGCCGACGGCCCGGAACGACGACTGAGTCCGAAGGGTTTGGCTTCAGGTAGCAGCAGGGGAAACACAGCCGGCCAAACTAGCACTATGCGAGGCAGGGGTAAGCGCCGCACTCGAGGTAACGATACCTAATGCCTTTCCCTAAGATATCTCTAGCTAACGGTGAGAAGGAGACCGCTACAGTCAGCGCTTCAGTCAAGACGCTGGCTGAGCAGTTCAACGTGAGACCCGGAGAGAAATGCCATTTCTCTATTGTTATACTCTAACCAAGTTGAGCAAATTCTCCATATTCACTTTATCAAAAGCAAGGTGTGTGCGACAAGTCCATATATATCCAAATACTGGGTTAGCAAGATTTGCTGTTGTCATGGACGGATGGACGAAAAGAGCCCCGGGCAAGGCACATGCTTCGGAAAGCGATGAAGCGGAACGTTGTGGGATATTTATTGTAGTTTTATTGAGGTACCCAAAGCTGTATTGCTCTTAACGCCAAACACATGCTCCAACAAAAGGAGATTTACCGCAGAAGATCCGAGAAACCGGGGAAATCACAATTTCCCGCTTGTCTTCGGTAAAATAATGTACACACAGGGGTCGTTCCCCTGACACCCTTATCGCATTTCCCTAGATACGCGCAAAGTCTGAAAAACCGTTCGACGGCGTATCAGGATAGGAATTGCAAAGAAACGCAGAAGGCGAAGTTCGATTGGAGGAGGCAAAGAAGAGATCGAAATCGAAGTCGTCATCGCGGTCGAGAAGCGGATGTCTCTCAAGGCGCAAAACAATCGGATTGAAAAGAAAAGCCGAGCGGAACCCATATCCAGAATCGAATAGCTTATTTATTCTTTCCACCCTTGGTCGCCTCAAGGAAAAGCACCTGCTTCTTAACGACAGGGTCGTACTTCATCATGCTGAGAGGACGGTGTACACGGGGCCGGATCATCGTGCGGTAGTAACCCGTCATGGCCATAGAGATCAGCCGGACGGCAATGGTACGGGACTTCGCTGTGTCGGGAAAAAGACGATGTTAGCCATCAGCCGTAGGAATCCGGCGGGTTCTCGATTTTCGCTGCCAGCGCCCGTTTCACATCCCAATTGCTTATGGAATGGCGGGTGAATCATGCGATTGAACTCTCGGGCTTCTAGTTCTACGTACCTTTCTTGGCCATCTTGGGCGGCGTCTCGGTATGCTTGATCGAGTTGTCACTCCGAAACAATTTCGAGGTCGGAGTTGATCGTTTCCCGTCGGTCACGTGGATCTTGCTTAGTCATTACTGTTTGGGCCGGCCTGGGAGACCCGTCAAGTTAGAGGATCAACCCGTGGACATCTGGTTGGCGGATTTTGATGATTATTTTCAAGTTGCTAGGCACCAACGTGTGAATGAATAATCCTATTACACATGTAATTCGGGGCTTATAAGACTAATTAAATTACCCATCTTCCACCGTTTTCTACAACATACATTGGATATCTCGTCTGGGACCTACGGATGGACTAGACCTGCCACGCCCCTGCCAATTCATCTTGGATTCTAATTGGTTTTAGTCAGGATAATAACATAGGGTTACGGATTACTCTGTACTCTGTTTGGCCACCTGTTAATATTGATCTTCCCCGTTGAACTTGCCAACTCAGTACAAGCTTTAACCGCTACCTAGTTAGGTGACATTAGTAGTATAGATTTCCTATATGTGGGTTTGAGCTGATCTATTCAAGTTTTTTTCATTATGTTTGACCTGTATTTTCAACTCAGAAAGTTCTAGCTAAGTTTGCATGAGTGTCGTTTACATCACAGCATCACCGATGTGACGATATCATGATATACAATGGCCTTCGGGGCTGAAAGTCTTCCTTCAGTTCCAATTTCGAGATGATACCAAAAGTCGTGGCCTGATATTATAGCTATTGTGGCTGAACAACGTTGTATTTGGCTCTTCAGAGTTAGTATGTTTCACATTTTATAGCCGATGCTGAGGGGGTGATATGAGCGAGGTTGTGATTACTAGTCGCTAATTGATTGATCCTTCAGGAACCAAAGGTTGATTAAGCACCACATTCCCAACCCCGAAAACCTATTATCAAGATGGTCCATAGCCGCTCGATCCCCCTTGTCCTTTTTGCCTTGTTTGGCACAGGACTCGCGCAAGCCGTGAATGGCTTCAACTTCAATAAGCCAACCGGCGGCCCTCCAGGAAGCTATTTTGCTGCTGGCTCGTCTATCCCCGTTACTGCTTTGCAGAGCGCTGCTGCAACGGCTAGTACTGCTGTACCGGATGGTACCTATCCTATCAATAGAGAAAATGGAGCTCAGGAAGTTACCATCCATAGCGACTGGGCGAACTTCAGCCAGGTAGATACTCTCACTAGCCGGCTAATTGCAGGATCAAACTGATTAATGATAGGGTGCGGCATATGTTTGGATCGCGGATATGGATGTCGACTGCGACGGTATTGACTACATGTGCAAGGTAGGTGACTATTATTGTCTGTCTGGGATATTATTGCTAACCCTATGGTGCAGGAAGACGCGGACGGCCTGAACCAAACCAACTTCGGTGCTTTGGCTGCCTATGAAGTGCCGTTCTTTGTGATTCCCGACAGGTTCGGAACCCAGTACGCGAAGCAGCTTCCTGGAAATAACATCGGTGCAGTGATCTGGTATGAATTTCCTTCTTTGGTGGATATTTCAGCGGCTTCCTGTTCTAACTAAAAGCTAGTGACGGCAAGATGTTCTACGGGATCTACGGAGACTCCAATGGCGCTACCCCTCAAGTTATCGGCGAGGCCTCGTGGTTGATGGCCCGGACCTGCTTCCCCAATGATAACTTAAACGGAAACAAAGGCCATAGTGATGCCGATGTGACCTGTAGGTCTGAAAATATACATTTCTTTTACTTTGGCAGCTACTAATCCAACAATAAGATATCATCTTCACTGGCAACAACTCGGTACTCCCTAGCAGTGCTCTCAACACAAGCTATGTTACCAACTTCAGCATACTACGCTCTATGGGCGACAAGCTCGTGACCTCTCTTGCGCAGAACCTCGGGCTGGTAAATGGAGGGTCCTCTTCTTCTATTGCAACGACGACCGCTAGCCCCGGCCCTACTGGAGGCTTCTGAGTGAGAAGGAGATTGTGCTGGTAAGTGTCCTTCAGCTCATATTCTTACTTCATGGTTACTAAGTAATTTTATAGGTGCCTCTTGCAAGACCGAGCATGGCAGTCAAGTGGTCTGGAAAAGTGGGAAATGCACGAATGAGTGATTGCAACCTGGTAGGTTTGTGGGATTTGATCTAAAGGGAAAGATAATATAAATGGCAGAGTAGCTGTATGTACCGGACACCAGATCACCGCGATTTTCCCGATCGGGGTATCTTCGCTTTATGGGGTATGCTTAATGACGTTCAAATACTGCTTTGAGTGTATGTTCGGCGATTACTAGTGAATGCAGTATATCGTAGACAGGAAGCAAGCGAAGTGATCAGTATGAAATGTATTGAGCTAACTGGACTAACTGACTCGGGCAAAAGAGAACACATTTTACGTTTGCTCCTATTGAAAATATATAACTGTGTGAACAGACTAAATTGTATGATTTGTGGTCAATATCACTTACTCTTGTAAACATGTTATACAGGCTCGTTCTATTAGCTTTCTAATACCAACATTGAACTCATCGGTCCACCATTGGACCATGGTTGATCTGACCTACGCTCTCGTCTTTTGAAGTCCAACATTTACCTCAAAGATCTTCACCCTTGTCAAATACTCTAGCGGTTTCCAGTCTTTGCCCATGGTAGAGTTCACGAGTATTTCAACCTCTCCAGGTTGCTGTCGCCGGACGGTGTCCTCGTTATGTCCTCATCCATGGAATCCGCAATCCTGCTGTTCAGGACTGATGTGATGTCGAGTGCCTTGGACTAAGGCTCTCGATCGGAAGGAAATGCATTAAGGGCCTTATATTAGAGCGAGAGACTGTTTGCTAATGCGGCGAGAATGAAGTCGGATGGTTCAACATGTGTAAGTTAAGGTGCGAGGTCGGTGAATGAATCTGTGTTGGCAGTGCCTTTGATTAGGAAGTGACCAAGGTCAGGGGCATAGACATAGAGTCTAAGTCGTTCAGACCTCCAGCATCAATTCCCTACTGAGTCATTAACATCAGCATAGACGAAGAGATTTCATTGCCCGTCGATCCCCGTTATAAGGTCATGAGTGACGTATAATAATAGATGGGGGTAAACCATGTCTCAAGCCTCCAATGAAGTCGCCAAGTTCGGCCATCGTGCCCTGACCGTTCTATGTATAGACGAATATGGAGTAAGGGGTAAAATGTTGAGGAGAAGTCCTCCAATCATGTGATAGTTGACGAAGGCGTGCTTGTTTGTTGTTGCGGTCACCTGGGAAGTCACCTGGCAAGTCACCTGAAGTCACATGAAGTCACCTGAAAGTCAAAATGCGGGGAATGTTCGGCCCGAGCAGCCAATTGGGCAATAATGCCTCAAGCTCCTGTGGCAATGACTTCATTGTCTGCAATTTCTGCAAAGGCTCGAAAATAGAACATCCTATTAAAGAATAGAAACGTAAATGTTTCCAGGGGTCACTTGATGCGTTTGCGTGGTATTACCTAAAACCCGGTTTGCGTCGGGGAACTACTAACTTGATTCAGCTGTGCCTTACGTTTTATGATCGAATCTGAGTCTAGAAGCCCATAATTTTACGTGATTTCCCAAGGATCGCCAAGTAATTGCCGAGAATTTTGATATCACGCTTGCAGCGCAGTTGGAGTTGGTCCGAATGGCGTTATAATGATCTACCCGTGGACATTCCCCCGCAAAATCTATATAAGAGAGATGTTTCCCCGGACTTGAGCCAACAATTCAATTCAATTCAATTCAATTCCACGCAATCTCCATCTGTCTTACTACCTTGGGTCCTTTATCCTACTCCCAACTACAATTTTTATGTGAGTAATATAGGCATCTCCCTATGTCTGACAGTTACTGACACAAACCTCAGTCAATGACCCAGAGCCAATCCTCCTTCACCATGGCTATCCAACTACAGCGCCAGGCACAGAGCTTGAAATGCGAGCAATGCGGACTCCCTGCCGTGAGCTTATCCACAAGCCCAAGCTCCAATGATGCTGGCAGTCAGGCATACTACAAATGTGTCCCATGCAATCGCTTCTTAGGCCCTTGCCCTCGCAACACGTCAGGAGCTAGTCAGTGTGGTGACAGTGATTCCGAATCATCAGGTTCGGAGGACCATGTGCCTCGCGGTCTCCCCATCCTTTCTACGAAGAAGCAAAAATCCAACCTACACAACCCGGCTCCGGAGTTCGATGAGGACTGGGAGGCGAATTGCAGTCCAGGCTTCATGGTCTCGAGATTCAAGGCGCAAGGTAGGGAAGTGCTTCTCTGGCCTTGAGAATGATGCATTTTGGGTTTTTTCGGAATAGCGAGCATTGTTTAATTTACCAAGTGTTTATACTCGATCGTTACCTGCTAAGGTGACGATAAGATTCGAGTAAAAGTTCATATATATATCACTAATAAGGCCATGCCTTTGAGCTCGGAATACAGAATGTTTGGGTACCTGCCTATCAGCGAGATTCATGAAGTTGCAAAATGTTTACTTCTAGGAAAACAAAACTATAAATCCTTCAACTTCTTCTGTTAAAATCCGAGTCTTTACCTCAAAATAAGCTTATTCCTTCCTTCTAGCGATTCCGAATATTGTTATAAACCTATGACAGATTTTCCGGTTCCAATGGTTTGCCAATGACCTGAAGCTACAGTCGCCTACAGTATCAAGAGCATCATCTTCGATATGGCACTCAGTACCCCTGGTCATCGTCAGAGCCGAAAATCCAGGAAGCCTCATTGAGCTCTGTATCCCAGACCATATCAGCGCTCTCAAACGAGTTTTATATTCATAATCTTGATTTTAACTCTTTGCCTATTCGTTCAAACATATTTGGGCTATTGTCTTGAGCCGTCAAGTTTATACTCAAACTTATTCAACACAATTTTATCATGAGTGTTTTCACTTTGTCACCTCTCCATGAAGATTCACTTGATCTGCAACCACGATCTCTTTCTCTTTGCTAGGTAGAGAGTACACCTAGTTTCAAGTTTCACCTACTCACCTCTCTCTCACCTCACCTCACCCAGTATCCTCCATATCCTCATCTTCGTCAACTCTACTACCTACCTATCCCCATATTCTTATCGCTTTAATCATTTTTTTGATCGCCCAGATGGCAGACGGTACAAGCAACGATGGCAATCATTTGCCCGAACCACACCCTGATACAACTACAACCTCGAGCACTCCTACCATTCCCACGCCCTGTGGCATAGGAAAAATTTCAATCGAGGACATAGCTCTGCCCGAATCAATCATCATCTACTTGAATCAGGATTCCAGCACCTTACAGATTATGGGGATGCTGGACAGGCTAGGCGCTCCAGCAAAACTACCAGTCATCTACCGGGCAGCAAGTCGACTTGAAGCTCTAGCTGCGGTGTGCAACTCGAACTTTGCAGCTAGAATGCTACTGCAATCAACCAATGGGCCGATTTCGGATATAGATGCCGCAGCTCTGTGGGCACAAACCATGCCTGAGCTACCGCAGCCATCCGAATACTGGGATGTTGTGCTAGCCTTCCTCCTGTCGAAAGAGGATTGCATGGCGCTGCGGGACGCACTTCGATTCGCTGCTGGCTTACAAGCATTCAATGAATCAATCCAGGAGCTAGAAGATGGACTGGAAAAACGGCTCTTCATGCAGCTGGCAGATAAATGGTCCACTATGATGTCAGAGGAAGACAGCATAGAAGACACGGAGGATGATATTGAAGACGACGTGGAGTAAATTCTCAGTTGGCACAATTCCATTACTCGATCGCATGTATTTCTACAATTTAGTAACCTCTCCACGTGTAATCGGTTCATGTGTAACTGTAACCACAGTGTCTTCCTCCTCGCTTCCTTGTTCCTCTGCCATCGTTATCTTTCTATTGCTCCTTTTCTCCATGATCATAATCCAAGCGACATTGAACAAATATAAAACACTGATTACCGTGGCCTATAAAGAAGTTGACTGTTAGTTCATAAGACGTGACAATGTTGAGCAACAATCATACCCAAATAAATCCCCCACGGAACCTAGGTGCTTTTGACACAGGCCAAGCTACCAACGGCACCACCAGACTAGTAATCTCCCCAAGGCAATTGTAGGAAGCAAAAGTAATCGCCCTAACCTCCAAATCCCCAGCAAGTCCCTCCGCAGTCCAGGCGATCAGTACTGGAAGTGTCCCATAAGACCATCCCACTGATATATAAGCAAAAAACTTGAGACCATCGGGAATATCCCAAATTGCAAGTACCAGATTCGCAAAAATGCATAGAATCCCAGACAAGATTATAGGCTCAGAACGAGATCCACGAATATCAGAATAGAAGCTCATCATCAATGCGCCAGCTACCGCTGCACCATTCGTGACAGTGGATAAGTTGTTCACAAGGGCGACAGGATATTTATTCGGCTGGGAGTCGAGCCAAAGAATAAATGGTGTGGCTTCGCTGTAAGTCATGTTGCAGAAGATGACCAGAAGGAGCACGAAGGCGTAGAATCGCCACGATGTGAAGATTCGTTTGATGATTGTTTTGTTAAGACCTGTAGACGGCTTGAATCCTTCTTCCTGTAGTCTTTTGTTGGCGAGCGCTTTTTCTTCTGCGCTGAGGAAGCGGGATTTTGTGCGCTCTGGCATGTCGGGAAAGACTAGGAATCCGCTGTGATATGTTAGTTGGGTATTTTAGAAACTTTCAAGGTCTTTTCAATAATTTCAATCGCTTACATCAAAGCAATAGGGAGTGTGATAATCGTGCAGATAATGAAAAGCCATCTGCTCATAGTAAGTATTAGTATTGGAATGCTTGACATGCGGTGGTAAACTGACCTCCAACCCTGTAAACCATGATGATTGTTGAGATGTGTATATGCAGCAGCCTGTAGATATCCCGCAAACATCTGGCCGACGGGATTTGCAATCCAGAAAAGTGCATTCCGACGTCCCAGTTCTTCCTTCTTATACCATCTGTACGCGCAAGTCAGCATGCGTTCAATTTTCGGTAGTCGGGATTCAACACGAACGAGTTGACTACATGGACCAAGCCCACATAACATGAAGTAGCGCTCAACCCGACGAAAAATCGCATTACCACTAGCTGCTCGTAAGTTTGCACAAACGCCGTTCCGAGAGTGAAAAGACCCCAAAAGATCTCCGCGGCTGGGAGGTAGTATTGCGCCCTATGAGAAATATCAGCTGGAAGTTTCCTATGGTATTTCCTTAGATTGCTTACGGGTATTTGATCAAGACCATGTTGCTGGGGATTTGAAACACAACATATCCAACTTCATCTGGATAGCAAGCAGGGTTAGCATAACCATCAAACTGCCGTTAATTCATTGTTCTTACATGCAGCATTGATATAATTCAATCTATTCCCCGAAAGATCGAGATCCTGTTTCATGCCAGAAACATACGCATTAGCTATTGAATGTCAGTCAATAATTCTCGAAACGTGCATGTGAGGTACACATACTCAATGCCGAAACGTCTAGATACTTGACGAAAAATGACAAACAGGCATAGGGAAGAACCAGCCAATCCAACTTTCGAACGAGTTGGCGCTCTATTAATGGCATACTGGCAGGGAACCATCTTGTGGCGCTCTCTATGCGTGAAACTAAGCCCGCCATTGTTCCGAAAGGATGTGAAATCTTTTCGAACTTGGAGAATCAATTTGAAAACCCGGTCTTTGTATATTTTAACGAATATCATCTTTTGCATAGATCTAATCTCGCGTCTTTTGTGAGATATGAGGCCATATGGCATCATACCCCTGACACGAAGTAATTGTCGCCAGGTACCGATATGTTGATTGCGCCATATATCACTAAAACAACACCACGAGTATTTCAAAGCAGACTCAAGGGACTCATATTTCAATATCTGTACTCAATTCAACCTGTCGGATGTTTTGGCAAGAGTAAATGACGCGATCCCGTTGTAGACAACGTATTCGGACTTCTTCCGCTCCAGAGGGGTAGCAATGCTTATCTCGCTTGGCGAGAAGGCTTTCTGATACGATGGGTTGAGTATTCGTGCTTTCTTATATAGATGACAGCAGATGAGGGTTGAGCGGGGTTGTTCTCAGCCGGAGAGATAAATAATATCGACATATAGCAACACCTGGACTTTGAAAATTGTCAGAGACATTTGATCTAACCAATATATCCGAAATAAAATCAAGTCTTGACCTTGAACTTTCGAAATGTCAGCTGAAACCTCACCACCTAAGCGGCGGATATACCTCAATGGCTTCGACATGTTCACGGTAGGCCATCTTTCCTTCGGACAGTGGAAGAACCCCTCCGATCGGTCAGCCACCAAGCGACGCGACCTCTCCTACTGGACGAATCTCGCCCAGATACTCGAGAAAGGCGATTTCAATGCGTTGTTCCTTGCCGACACCTATGGTCTATATGACACGTACAAGGGGACCGCAGAACCCGCTATTAGGAATGCAGCTCAATATCCCATGGGAGATCCTTCGATAGTAAGTTAGCTGTACGATTTTGTTTTGTCTAGTCGGGTTGCTGATGATATGTATCAGCCAATCTCTGCAATGGCCTCGGTCACGAAGAATCTAGGGTTTGCTATCACCACCTCTACTTCATATGAAGCTCCATACGTTGTGGCAAAGAGGTTCTCGACTTTAGACCATTTGACCGGTGGTCGGTTCGGGTGGAATATTGTGACCTCGTGGAAGGAGTCTGCTGCAAAGGCCGTGAGTATACCCATTGAAGGATCTTTGCCCAAAACTGACATCCATAGCTGGGATTGCCTCTGGTAGATCACGATAAGCGGTATGAAATTGCCGACGAGTATCTGACCGCATTGTACAAGTAAGCAACAGTGAACCATGGATAGCCATACAAAATACTGACCTGCAATAGACTGTGGGAGGGCAGCTGGGCCGACGACGCTCTCCAAGAGAATGCTCAGACAGGCGTGTATGCCGACCCAAGTCGAATCAAATACATCCATCACCACGGCGAGCATTTCCAATTCGACGGCCCTCACATCCTGGATCCATCCCCGCAGCGCACCCCTTTCCTCTTCCAGGCAGGCACATCCCCAGCGGGCGTCGCCTTCGGCGCGAAACACGCCGAAGGAATCTTCGTCTCCGCCCCTTCACCGCACATCCTCGCTCCACGTATCAAAGCCATCCGCGAAGAAGCTGCCAAACTCGGCCGAGATCCTAAATCAGTGAAAGTGTTCGCGATCCTCACGCCGATTGTAGGCCGAACCGACGAAGAGGCACAGGCAAAGTACCGCGAAGCACTAGAGTATGCCAGCGAAGAAGCAGGACTTGCATTCTTCTCTGGTGGAAGCGGTATCGATCTCAGCCGGTTTGATCTAGACACGCCTATTACACCGTCAGATGTGCATGTTGACGCCCGTGTTCATTCCACGATCAATACACTCTCCTACCAGAGTCCCGACGTGCCTGAATGGACGCCAAGGAATATCGGGAAACACATCTCGATTGGTGGGGCTGGGCCCGTTCCTGTTGGTTCTGCGAGTACCGTCGCGGACTTTTTGGAGGAATGGGTCCGTGTGGCAGATTTGGATGGGTTTAATATTGGGTATGTGCAGACGCCCGGGACTTTTGAGGATGTTGTAGAGCTCCTGGTACCGGAATTGAGAAGAAGGGGGGTATACGCGCCGTTGGGTGAGAGTGGTACAATGCGAGAGAGGGTATATGGGCCCGGGCAAAGGCGCTTGCGTGATGACCATGTCGGGAAGAAGTACGGATATGAGGTGTATGATGGCCAATAGTCTAGTCACAGGGTGGAATGCAATTTAGATTGGTCTAATTTGAAATAGATCCTGCGAATGCAGATGGATACATGGATATACGTAGTCGAGAATCAGGGATTTTATACCGGATTTGATGAATTCACACTCATTTCCACTACTTCGTACTCATACAAAGAATGTCGAAGATGAACATAGAAAGAAAACAGCCAATTTAACCCTAAAAGAGAAGAAATGTCTCTCAGCTAAGCCCTCAGGAATGTGCCAAGGCAAACCGGAGAGATTTCTTGACTCGCGCCAGCTGAAAGACTCTCCCACTAAGGGGCTGGAATCCATATGACCAGGTGTAGATCTATATAATTGGCCTGATTCTATTGAGGCTTGACGCTAATGCCATTAGAATCGGGTATTTTGGACAATTTCACTGCCAAGTGGATTCGCACAGATCATTTCACGATGCACGTTTCCTGAGATTGAAATTGAGGGCATATTGACTTCACATTAGCGCTTTATAGATCTCAACTTGTGTCAAATTAATTAATACGAGACCGGAACTCCCCGATTGGAGCGAAACCATTGCATCTTGACCTAAATCAGCAGATGGCATCAGTTCACTCGCAGGGGGAATCTCCACAACTGGACGGACAACATCGACGAGGCGTTTCTTGGCGGTCGTTTCATCTTTCCCGTACTCCTCCGGACTCATCCTCCTCAATTTAATCTCCCATTTGCTTTGAGGCATCGCTTTGATTGGTCCGATCTGCGACAGAACGGGGTCTCCAATTTGCTTGGCTTCGTTTAACGTCCCCCCGCTAGTGGTTCGGTCAGCTCAGGCGATCTCCAGCCTTATGTCTCCGGTTCCATATGTGGAAATCTGAAACAGCCCCGATGCAGGGTATGCGCCAAATACTTCTCAACGCCATTTCCAAGGGGGCTATAAGTACTAGACATCTACTCATGATGTTCCCCATTCTTATCTTCACCATCTTTCAGTCATTCCTTTTCCTGACACTTGCTGGATTCAAGTTGTCTATCCCTTCATTTCTACACACACATTCTTTTACTACACTCCTTTCAACTTCAAACAATTTTACCAAAATGATGAACTCTACCCAAACTTCGGGCTGGCAGGTCCTAGTGACCAAGAGAAAGCTCCTGGTATCCTGCGTTCTGGGCCTCTTCTTCCTTGCCATCGGGATGGACCTCCGAGCAGAGCTCGGAGCTGGACACAATCAGAAGAAGATCCTCAAGCGTGACACCACCAGCACTAGCGATGCCACCATCTGGCAGCCCGCGGCAGGAGTCAAGTGGCAGATTCAACTTGTCGACGCCGTCGAAGACACCAGTGTTGATGCCGACATCTGGGACATCGACCTCTTCGACAACACCGCTGAGACAATCACCACTCTCCAGGGCAAAGGCCACAAGGTCATCTGCTACTTCTCTGCTGGCACGTATGAAGACTGGCGTTCAGACATTAGCAAGTTCGACAGCGCGGACTTCGGCAGCAACCTCGATGACTGGCCAGGCGAGCGCTGGCTCAATATCAAGTCGACCAGTGTTCGCGCGATCATGAGCTCGCGGCTGGACATGGCGCAGCAGAAGGGCTGCGATGGCGTTGACCCGGACAATATTGATGCGTATGGGAATGAGAACGGTCTCGGGTTGACAGAGGCTGACTCGATTGACTTTTTGACTTTCCTGGCCTCGGAGGCGCACTCCCGTGGCATGTCTATCGGGTTGAAGAATGGCGGTGACATTATTGGCTCTGTTATTGATAAGATGCAGTGGTCGGTCAATGAGCAGTGTGCCGAGTACAACGAGTGTGACGTCTATGCTGCCTTCACGGATGTCAATAAGCCTGTTTTCCATATTGAATATTCCGACGAGACTATTGAGTCGGATAGCTCTGACGATACTTCTGACATTGCCACCACGACTTCTACTGATAGCAAGGCTACCGCCACTGCTACTGCCACTGCCACTGTTGCTGTCATCCCTTCTTCTACCTCAGCTGCCGCCGCCGCTACAACAGCCACTAGTGTTTCTGTCATCCCTGCTTCTACCTCAGCTGCCGCTGCCTCTGCAGCCGCCACTAGTGTTTCTGTCATCCCTGCTTCTACCTCAGCCGCCGCTGCCGCTGCAACCAGCACGGCCGCTGATGACACCAACGATGATGATGAAGATGACGAAGACGACGACGAAGAGGCTAGCACCGATACCACCAAGGAGAAAAAACACCGACACGGTCACGGACACGGTAACCACAAGCTCCGAGCTAGAGCCGTTCTCTCCTCCACTTTGAAGACATCAGCTTGCAACGCAGCCAACGCCGGCAAGTTCTCGACTGTTATCAAGAACATGAACCTCGATGCCTGGGTTGAATATTGCTAGACAATCAATTTCTCGTGGGATTGCTTCGTATGGCAAGAAATCAATCTGTTAGCTGGAGATAGTGGTGAATGAATGACTGTCGCTATTGTATACACTTCAAAGAGACATCTTAGAATATATACAAGACAAATGCTACAATCGAGAAAGAACTCTTGTCTTCATTATTGGTCTGGTTTGATGCGTAGAAGGGCTTAGTACTAAGTATATTGGTAATGTTGTTCTGTAGGAGGAATCTCGGTCCGGTGGACTAGGCTATATCTACTATGAGGGGTCGCATAGATAGATATCAATCAATTATCTTCCTCAGAGGACATCGCACTTTAACACCAGGTTACTCAACTAAGTAAACCCTCAATATTGCCTGATACTCTGGACTGCTCTCCACGCATCGCCGCTCAACCTGACACTACATGACGAGAGCTCTCAGGAACCAGAGCAGCTTCCTCGGGAGAACTGGGCCATCAAGCCGAGTGGAGGAGGGAACTGTTAGAAGTACTGAGGTCTGTTCTGCGCTGCGAGTGCGAGTGCGATGCTGGGCGCCAGGAAGACTTGGATGCTATCAATGTCGATGCACCTATGTCTCATTCTCAAACTCCACTATACTGACAAAAGCTTAGGACTACGAGCCGCTACCAAACGTAAACCCAGCAGTCTCCAGGTTGCTTCATGCCTCAGTTGAAATCGCCTCTGGGATTAATCTCACCAATGATGCGCTTGACGTGCAGTGCTGTGCAGCGGCGCAGAATCGCCTCTTTGATCTTATTGTCAATAACTGTCTGAGATTCTGCACTGAGATTCTGCAGCGTCTTGTGAACAATGGGACAATTACCCAGGATCAATTCGATGCGCTGGCTGAAAAGGGATTTCAACCACTCGTCTAAAGATCAGGAATGGAGTCAAGAACATGCATGACACGGGCATTTGAGTTGATGGTGTAAACGACGGACCTGTGGATTACTGTATCGAGTTAGTTTTGCCCTTTTGGGTTGAGAGTCTCAATACCTCAACCTCAACGTATGGCCTATCACATCAGAGCAAGAGACGAATAAGCCAATAACATCTAATAAACACCATCATTCCTTTTCTGCTAAGGTGAATTAAATAAGATGATTTTCTCGAACAAGTAAAACACTTACCAAGAACTTCCTTCACGTTTGACATGCACAAAAAGGACAAGGACCGTGGGAAAAACAGTGTTTTTGTTATTTTTATTCTTCTTAAGTTACCTCAACTACAGTTTCATCTTGTTGACCACCATACCAGTGACATGGAATGGATAGTAACCACTCTCCAGTACATGATCCCTCCTTACACACACAAATCCTCAGAAACCATAAACTTCTCGTCCCTAGCATTGGTTTCCTCCGGGATCACATTAGCATCCTGAACCTCGCACCCCTTCAGCACAGATCCACGACCAATCTGAGCTCGGCGACCAATCACACACCCGGTTAATTGAGCCCTAGGCTCAACAACGGCGCCCTCCATCAAAACGCAACGAATGATGCGGGCAGCACTAGCAATCTGACAGTTCGCACCGATCACGCTCTCCTTAATAACAGCACCCGGTGCAACAATTACATTCTCACCGAGCAGACAATCCTTCTTTGTAACGTTGCTGGGCGAAGCCACGCCTTCGGGGTAGGCAACTTTATGGGCGTGCGCTAGAGGCGACGCCGCCTTGCGACCAACTTCCTCGATAGAAGGCAGTTTTGCGAGGAAAAGGGATGTTGAAAGCAAGACGCCTGTATTATCGACCCGTCGAATGAACGGAGTTGGTCCTCGGTGGACGTAGGCTAGAATTTGTGGCAGTTCGCTGGACTGGTGTAACTGCTCTGGCTGGAGTTCGGAGCTAGAACGGGTTCTGGTAGTGCTCATATCCTTGATGTCGATTACTTTGTCAACGAATGCGCCAGTATAGCTGCTTTCGGGCGTAAATTCTGTCTCCTGGGGGAAAGTGGTGTCTTCGTTGAAGTTCTTGGTTAATCCTAGTTTGGCGCCGAGACCTTTCTGCCATGCTGACTTGGCCCAGGCGCCGACCAGATCCTCCCTAACGGATTTCAGTTTGCTTTGGTGGTGGACTAGGTCTTTGACCCAGTAGGGGAAGACGTAAACATGGGCATCGCGGAAGGTGGTGAGTATTCTGATGCACGGACAATTCTGGACAAGGGAATAGCGAAGGAGAAGGCCTTGGTCTTCTTTCATTTTCTCCTTGATTGTATCCATTGGCATTGACATGAGGAGTTTGGATAGACTGAACCGTGGGATTAATGGTCCGTCGGGGCCGTGGACAACGGGTGCTTCATTCTGCTCGAGTGGTGCAATAGCTATGAAATCTGTTCCTTCTTCCTGAATACTCTCCTCTCGGTGGTCTGTCTGATAGTACACAGCCAGACCGCCGGGGCGAGCTTCCCGCTGGTGATCGAAGTAGGAATTGGTTGGAGGGGATGCATGTTGAGCCCCTCTAGAATCACTGCCATCGTTGAGGGCATACGGACTGGAAATCCACGCCTCGAGGATTGACTCACCTGGGATTTCACAGATGAGGTCACAAGGAAGGAGAAGAAAATTCGTGGTGATACATCTCTGGACTTCTGGGAGACGAAGGAGCTCGGCAGTTCCCATTGTCATCTCGAGGTCCTTCGGTGCGATGAGCGAGACCGAGGGCGAGTAGAACGATGTAAGATATGGGTTCTGGTCCAAAGCAGCCCGAATGGGAGGGAAAGACAGTGGAGGGGTGATCAACGTGATATCTGGGATATAATTAGCCAATTTGATTAAGAGAATGAGATGGGTCTAGGATAAAGAGATCATTCAGGCTTACCAGTGACACCTGATCGCCTGCAAAAGTCGATGGCATAGAATAACATAGGTCTGTTTGCGACTTGAATGAGGCACTTTGGATACTCCTCGGGTCTGGAGGTGAATGTATTGAGTGAACCTCCAGGACCACATAGGATGAGGGCCTGGAAGTCCATGGGGCCAGCGTGTGGCATGGTTGTTTGAGTGGAGGGTTAAGCAAGTGAGGTTAAAAGGCCTTTAAAATCTAATTTTCCTTGGGATGAGCGATCAATCGCGTGACATGTGTAAGACGGAAAGATTGTTGAGAAGTTTGGTAGAGGGGAGACGCGTTAAGAGGAAGAGCTGATGGGGACAGCCTTTAAGAGACAACAAGTCACGTAGTTGAAACTGACTTGTCACGGGTGAGAGAGAAGTTGTTTGTTTCTAAGTAGCCAAACCTCTGCTCTATCGAAATAGATAGGTACATGACGACCACCTTTCGGGGGGTCGGTCATATCGATAATGAGTTGTAAAGCAGGATCAGGTGAACGGCAAGACTCATTTCAAGTACGACCAAGCATTGATCTTAGACTATATAGCCTTTTCGGTGTCTTTTTCGGTGTCTTTTTACTGGTTTTGTAATAGTTTAGCACTCTATATTCAAGGCTTTTATATGTCCACAGCCTTCAATCGCACAATGTTTTGCCAAGTTCGATTTTGCTGGCGCCCAGAGCTATAGTTTGATATTATTAAGATATAAAACTATTTCCCAGTTGATACAATTTTCTAGAGTGTTGCAGTTTTCAATCAAAATACAATATGGGCCGAGTTTATGCTTTGCCCCAAGCTTTACAGAATCAGTACCTGAAATTAATAGCTGATTTGGAAAGAAAAATAGCAAAAGGGAAGAAAACGGACTAAGCTTTTTTATCAAGACACTGGCTCTATATGCGTTAGTTGAGTAAAAGACATAAACTGACGGTATATATATCCTTCTTCATATAAATCTCAAGTACCACACCCAGAACAAGGATTGTCTCCCCAACCATCATGCATTTTCTTCAAGCTCAGCGGCTAATTCATTCTTTCGATCCTTCCGCCAGACAAGCCACCACGAAGCCAGAATGCCCGAGATAGCCGCACACAGGAAACAAAGACAGATAACATATGACACTCGATAGGTCGGTCCAAACACCGTACTGTATATATGAGGTCCAGCGATGCCACTGAACTGGGCCATGGCATTCGTCAGCCCAATACCCATCCCCACGGCCACTGTGCCCTCAAGCGCACGAATACGTTCTGGCCAGATGACAGGGTATGCAGATCCCGCACAAGCGGTAGCTACAATCAAAGCGAGGTATTTGACGACTGAGTTTTTAACTGTAATCAGGATGATATAGCAGATGATTGTCGTGCTTTCGACTGATTTGTTGTCAGTGGGAACTCCACGTGCAATGCGGGGAATAATACTTACTCGCAACAGCGGTGGTCCAGGGTCTGATCCATCCTTTGTGTAGTAAATACCCGAGAATATTCAAGAAGAAAAAGCATGCGACATATGGAGGCTATTGAGTATGAGTCCGGTTAGCGATGTCTTGTGTATTGGTGCGTTTCCCTAGATTGATTCCAACTCACAATATTCATCAGCTGTGATAAAGCGGTTGTAGTAAAGCCAAGCTCATAGATAACAGTAGGTAAAGCGTAATTCACTCCAAATCCGCCAATACCATGTCCAATCCAGTAGATTGTGAATGTGTACAGGGTCGGACTTGAGAGGAGTGTTTTGAAGTCCCCCCAGTTCCAGCTTTTGTCATTTCCTGAGGGTGCTGTAGAGGAAAGACGGCCCTTGAGGAACGTTCTTTCTTCTTCGGTCAACATGCGGGCGGTCTCGGGGTAGTCCGGAAGACCGAATAACGCTACCACAGAGAGCACGATTGCCGGAAGGCCTTCGATGACAAACAGCCATCGCCAGCCTGAAAGACCACCGGCCCCATCCATAAAGCTGATGGCATATGCTAGCAGCCCACTCAATGCGCCAGATATTTGACCGAGAGAGTAGAAAAGGGCTATTCTCCAGCGCAGCTCAGATGGCTTGTACCAGAATGCCATATGGTAGAGCACAGAAGGGTAGAAGCCGGCTTCAGCCATTCCAATTGCAAATCGTACACACATCATCCCCGGAAAGTCCTTTGCAGCACCAGCAGCGCAGGCGCAGATACCCCAGCCCAAGATCAACACGAACATCCATCTCGAGGGCGTCACGCGTTTGAGAAGGATGGTGTTGGTGGGCTCGAAAAAGAGGTAGCTGTAGGAGAAGATGGACTGTGTCCAGGACCATTGTGCGGCGCTGAAATTGAGCTCTTTCTTGATTCCAGTGCCGGCTTCTAGGTTGATGATGGCGGCGTTGGAGTAGTTGTTGGAATCAATGACACGGAAGATATATACAAGCGAGTAAAACCCAACGAGCCAGAAATCTATTTTTCGCATCACTCTCTTCTCGAGTTTGGCGTTATATTCATTATCTTCGCGATTGATCTCATTGGGCGGAGTTGAAGGTATGCTGGAAGTAATGACTTCCAGCTCGTCGCGCTTCTCCGAAGCCATATTGTCAATTTCGAGATCCGCTTGATGTAGGATGATTGCTTAGAATAATTTCATCTCATTCTGCAGTCAAAACGCAACTTATTTTCCTTGAAGCACCTTTATGCTTATGTGTTACTTGGACCCCTCCGTTCTTGGCGACGCGGGTTGTGAGGGCAAGGTGCCATGATAGTTTGGATCACGACATTTCCCCCCCCAATGTGAATATTCGTTTGATTGAACCTTGATTACTCATTATTCATTCGGATTGCGGCATGCATAGTCTAAAGGCTATAATTGTGGGGTATGAATAACCCCATAACCCCATAGATAAGCTTGAGGCCCATCATATACTGACGGAAAAACGGTGGTAAGGCGATTGTATATGTGGCAGAAAAATCTCAATAAATTCTCTAACTCTCTAAAAATGACAATAGTCCTAAAACATGACAATCTTGTGGATAACTTAGTAATCAAAACAAACAAAACAAAATGAAAGGATGTTTTTCGGGCGAAA